TTTTTTTAGCTGCACATGGTATAGCAGTCTTAAATGCAATAACTAAAATAATAATTTTCCTAAATAACTTTTCTTGTCGGCTTACCAACAGTTTAATATGTAAATGGCAATAATTAATTTATTTGTCTTACCTGTGTTATTTTCCACTTTCTTTTCTTCATGTTTTCCTTGGCTGCATTAATCACTCTATAACATTCTTGTAGAGCTCCTGGGATGCAACCTTATTTTCTTCATGCATGGGGAGTGCATAAACCTAATTGTAGCCTATATGTTCAATTATATTATTGAGGGGTATCATGATTTTGATGTTTAAATGCTGAAAACAGACTCCTGATTTGATGACATTTTTAATTACAGAAGTTACTCCTATTTTCTTTTTCCAAAAATGAAAATTATTAATTTAACATTAACTTCATTTTACAATGTATTCAAATATACTATAGTAAAAAATAATAATAATGTAAACCTGCAAAACATTTAGCATTCTTTTGCATTTTGCATTCTATTCTCACAGTTAAAAAAGGGATTTTGTTTTAAGGAATGATACCCTTTAAAATCCAATATGAGTTTATATTTTAGTTTAATTTTGTCAACTCTCTTTGTCGGAGTTGCAAGGTGTCAGGTCCAGTGTTGGGAAGGTTACTTTGGAAATGTAATAGGTTACAAAGTAATGTAACTGATTTCACTTGATTACTTTTTGATTACTTTTCTAAATTTCTATTGTTTTCAAATTTTAATTATTTTGAAACATTTAAAGCAGGCAGGGTTAACGTTACAGTGGTACTCGGTACTCAACACTTTCAGACTTTCAGAATCCTTCTTCACTTGAAATAAGAGTAGGCCTATAATAATTTAAAATTTAATTTTTTTACTTTTTTACTTTTTACTTTGAGATCTTTTTGAGGTTAAATACAGATTTAAAATCATAAGATATAGTTTAATAGCTATGATACTGTTTTTGAAATAAATTCTTTGCATAGCTATGACAGGAAACACTGGCATCTAACATGCCTTGGGAAAAAAAA